ACAAGAAAGGAAATGGGTTAGAAAAAGGATAAAGAACTTATACATGTGAAAGGGTGATTATATTTACAGGAAAGACCAGACAGCATTTGATGGTTTTTTGGTTATGATTAGCTACTTTCCATCTTCTAAGTCATGGCACCCTATTCTCTCTTTTTCCATGCAAGATGTTTTCTTCATCTTCCATGCTTAGTGTTGCTCAGCAGTTACTAGCCACTATTCCTACATTTGACTCATGCAAGATCATCCTCTCAACCTCTCTTCTGCCTCCTATACTGTGCAGAGAAACGTGCAACTATGCTTGCCACTTTGCAAGGGGACCCCTGACAGCTAACACATGGCGAGTTTGTTGCTGAAAGTACAGCAAACATGAAAGACACTAATCAATTGAGCCATGTGCATGAAAAAGGACTGACTCTCTGTATATCACGTAGATTCTTCTGCATACACACCCATGCAATATTCAGGTCCTTATTCTTTCCCAGGTAAACAGCACTCCTTATTGCTAAAAGAGGGAAGGAGAGGAAGAAAAGGCCCACAGTATCTCCTGTTGAGGCATGTAAAAGAAGAAACAAACTTCAGTATGACAAGTATAGTTTATTCTGCCTCTACCACAGCCTTGGAAGGACTTCAGATTTAGTGTTCACAACTGTAATGTATATATCCTGGAGAAAAGGAAAGCAACACCTTTACAGTTAGTTGCTTTTTGACCCAACTAGGGAGTCAGATGAAAAAATCTTCACAAGGCACCTTACTCTCAAAGCTTTCTTTACACACACAAAAATGAAAGGGTGTGTGTATTAGTGTGCATGTGTTAGTCAAACAATAGTAACTACAGACAAAAAAGTCATTGTAATTAGTATTACGAAACCAAACCCACAAAAAAGTACAATAAAATAATTTACACAACTAGAAGAACTAACTACTTCCAGAGAAGCTGTGGATGCCCCATCCCTGGCTGTCTTCAAGGCCAGGCTGGATGAGGCTTTGAGCAACCTGGTCTTGTGGAAGGTGTCCCTGTCCATGGCAGGGGGGTTGGAACTAGATGGTCTTTAAGGCCCCTTCCAACCCAAACCATGCTATGATCCTATTCTATGATCCTAATAACAGAGCCTACAAATACATGGTGAGGAACATGAGTTTAATTTCTATGAAGTTCCAAAAAATTATTATTAATTTTACTTAACCTACGCATATAATGGTACATTGCCTACAATAACATGAATGCAAAAGGGATGGCTGACAATTAATAGAATTTATAAATGGGAACAAATAAATGCAAAAATATTTCTAGAGAGGTTTTATTTCCTAAATATTATGTACTACACAGCAAAAGAACTAAAAAATACTTTTTTAAGCAGTACACTGGCATACATACACCATGACAATACGAGGAAAGCTACGGCCAGATTCATAACAGTAAGCACCATGCATTCATACAAGACCAACGCATGCACAAACACACAATGCAATTAAGACAACCGTCATCGCATAAGCTTATCACACACACATTTGTCTGAGCAGAAGTATATACACATAGCTTGTTCATTAGGTTTGCGTATCTGTTTTCTATTTTCCTGAAGGGAGCAGGAGTGGTAAACAACAGTTCACCACCAGATAAAATACTTACTTTTCACATTTCCCTGCACAAGCTGATTCTGCAGTTCTGTTCCAATCTACATTATCGCATCACTTTAATCTAGTCTCCTCTGACCTACAGTTTCTAGACATGCAATTTTAAAGTATTTTTACAAGCCACACAAACATTCTTTTGAAGGACACAACTAAGAGTTGACATCAAATTCTTACAGGTGAAATTGGTTCATTGACTAACACTTCAATATGTACTTTACAAAGTGGTTTAGAAATATGTATTGAAAACTACAATAACCACCTTTTAAGGAGGCAGATCACTTTGCCAATTAAAATAACCAATCAATCGATTACCTTGTTTTAGGAAATTCCAAATAATAATAATTATATCATGCTTTTCATTTTGGCATGAGCAAATTTATAACTTTGTTGTCAAAACAGATCAAGCAGTAATTGATATTCTAAGACCTCACCTAATTTCTGCCTTGTCCTTAAAAATCACAGATGCTCAGAAATATGACACACAAAAAAAAACTACAGTAGTAAAAGATTATAAAATACAGAACACTTATAGCTGTGCCCACTCAAACATAGTACATGATACAAGTCACATGAGACACAACTTTAACTCCAGTATCTGCACAATCATAACTTTCCTATCCTGCTAACTCTTTTGGAAAACTGACATATCAAGTCCTGAATGTATACAGAAGTATGAAAAGCATCCAATTTCAGATTCTCTCCTGTGTTTTCACAGTACTAATGTTTGTGCAGTGTTTGTCATGCATGTAAAACCTGCTGAAGTAACAACTCAACCCGGGTGCAATGTGCTTCTCCCTGCACTGCCACTGCAATGCAAAGATATGTTCCTATTTGCCAGTATAAGTTTATTTTTATAATGGACTCCTATCCTAGGCTTTCTTGCTTGGATCCTGAATATTTTTCATTTGCAAATTACAGTCTTCACTGGCCTGCTGCCAATGCTCCTGATAACTTCTCTGAAATATTCTTCGAAAGAAATTAAAATAGTTGCTATCTTTCTACTAAAGACTAGGTGCTGTGGAGAGAAACAGTATATTTAAATTAGATACCAACCCGAAATAATAGGCTTTGCACATAGACTGTTTTTTAACTTTTCCTAATACACCAGAACAGAGACAAAAAACAAGTCTTCAATCCATACAGGCATATTATACTCCAAACAACATGAAGTTAAAATCTCAACTATCAAGCACTTCAGATACACTCTTCTTTAACACTACCTTTCTCTCAAGTATTTTATTTTATAACATCTATTAACAGGTTACATATTATCTCACATAACCACCATAAACCTACCACCTCTCTGTACCTAACATTTTTTGCATTTTTTTTTTTAAATTCTCATTGCTTGACTGAATTTTCATCAAGTCAGATGAAATTAATCTCACACATGCTTTACCATCCATACTTTTTAACAAATTATTTAATCTCCAACATATCAGTATGTTATAAATTTTTTTAAACTAAATTATTATTGGGTTATTCTAAAAACAGCTTTGAAACTTTCAAGTTACAAGCAAGGAACAACTGGATACAGTACAGTACTAGCTGCAAAAAAGGAAAGATACCACACATGACAAAGCAAGTGGAACACAAAATGGTACACACTCCAGCACAGATATTTAAACAGAAGATTAAAAGTTGCTTTCATTTAGGAGTTCAATGAGAAAATGCACAGAGAGTTTAGGAAGGGTACATACTGAACATAATGTTGCTGTAATTTATCTATTATGTTTATGATAAGGAAATGTAATTTAATTGTTAATACTCAAATAAAATTGTATGAAAAAGATTCCTCATCCAAGCCAATATGACAACATGAGATTTATCCATAATCCCATTTTAAACTTCTCTAGGAAGAAAAGCATAAAGAATGATGTGGCTTATTAATGAGTGATTTAAAACAAAGTGTATCAATTTTACTTTTGTCTATAAAACACTTCTATTAGATATACAAATACATGTTTGCTTAGAAGAAATAGCTTTCTAAACAGCACAAAATATTAACTTAATGTGTCAGAAAAATAATTTACATGAAACTCAGTTACAGCACAGTTTTTAAAGTATCTGTGAGCAGCAGCACAAGGCCATTTCTTGCAATCAGACAGAAAATATTTCAGAGTCAGTTTATGGTATTCATTTGACTATTTTGGAAAAGTTAACCTTTTGAACCATTCTTAGGGTATGCTGACCCCTAAAGGTCTAAAAATATTAAATCTGATTAAGCCATTACCCACTTAAAGTATAAATTGTCAGAATACAATTCCTCACTAAGTTACTCCACATTGTTTTCAGAGTATATGATTCTAAAAGATTAACTTCACTGAGTAATAGCACAAGATTCCATGCAGTACAAAGGGTCTACAAGTAGTTTATTTTGCACAATACAGAAAGAAATTCCTTTACATATGTAAGAAATGCATCATCTCCAAGGTTAAGTATTTCTTCATTCTTCTCAACAAATCCTTCATGAGAAACTTGATGTTTATTATCTTTGAGAAAGATTACATAGCATAAAACTCAAAAAACAGAAATATCCAAAATGCTATGAGGATCTGATATAGGAGGCTTTTTTTTTTAACCTACACACAGCAACTCACTGGAAAAAGTCCACCCTTTTATGATGTACTGAAGGTTTCTTTTCTGTGTCTTTCCCTTTCTTCAATCTACACATTATTGTCTAGTCACAAGCCACTTTCTGACAATTCTCTTCTGTAAAGTCAGTCGCATAACATGCTCTCAAACTGGGTGGCTTTTTTGATCGTGGGTTTTCTTGGTTGTATGGCTGGTTTCTTTTGTAAGTTATTGCCATGAAATACAGAATACATTACCTGAGAGCAAAATATTGGTCATCCAAGTGATGGAGATGAAAACCTCCATTAACCATGGAAGTTCCGAGCTAACCAAGGCCCGTTTTACCCTCCGAGCCTACCTTACTCTCTATATTGTTGAGCTAATGAGAAACTCATTAGAATTAGTAGATGGCTTAATCATACTCTAGCCAGGAGTGAATAGCCAAGAAAGTTACTTTAAGACAGGTTTGAGATTTGTCATTAACCTATTAAAAAAAAAAAAAAAGGTGGAACAAAACACAATGTATAGACTAGGAATTTACATAAGACTTCTCAAAGTTATATAAAAACATTTTCAGTAACCCAGAAAATAAAGCTGCTGATTCACATTCCTGTTCCTGGTCTCCTGTTACCCCAAACATGTTCTAAGAGGAAATGTGTGGTTGTGGGTTTTGGCTTTTTTTTTTTTTTCCTTCCAAAGTCGGTCATATATCGGCAAGAACAAATACATTCCAGTCACTGCCTAGCACTGGTACAACACCTGAGGTTCCTTTTTAAGATCTTAAAAGTCCTTACCTTTCAACCAGTTCTCCATTTGTTCTTCTGAACTTGTTTGATCTGGCACTGGGTCCAGTTCTTGCTTGAAGGTTTCGGAGCTAAAATAAAGCAAACTCCAGATAAATAAACTTGAAACAATATAACACACCTATACTTTGCCTTCATTTGACAGAAAATTCACAAGACAAATGTTTTAAAAATATTTATAAACAGGACAATAAAGTCTATGTACTTTAACAGTCAGTGCTAAATTGCATTTCTCAGTAAAATATTTTTTCTTCACACATCTGATTTTTATAATGGCTTGGTTCAGCTTTCTGTTGTGTGTAATGCCTTCATTGAAAGATTTATTAGTTTGTCTTCTTGTTCTAGAGTCTGGTCTCAGAAGTACATCATGCTACTGAGTGCAGCCCAAACACTGAGTGGTCCCGGTAGAGGCAATGAAACTGCTCACACTGGTAATTATTACAGAGGGTGGTATGTGCTTCACTTAAGAACATTCTTTCTCCTACTTTAATTTCCTGGATAAAATACAGGTGAAAGTGGCCCATGACCACTCCAACTCTGAACCGTCAGGTTTTTCTAAACAGCTAAATAATCAATCCTAATATTTGCATACATATTGCTTCAGACTGTACAGTAAATTACACAGTTGGAGTATTTCATATAATCAAACATCTTCAAGATACAACCTTTAATACTAAAAAATAGGACCCACAGTAAAATGTTATGCTTATCAGGTAACATATTGAGTATTAAAATATATGCTCTCTTATATGTTAAAAATTCAACTGTATTTTATATCTCAAGGAAATCTAAATAAGTTTGTCATCTTGCTAATACAGTAAGCTTACCAAAATTTTTTTAACTTACTCAAGCACCTCTTCTAAAATATGTTCTAAAAAGGACAATTTTTCATCTAACTACATATGTGTGCTTATTTTGTATGTTTTCCCTGATATATTTTTTCTACATTTATTAAAAACACACAACATATCTTGGCAGTGACTGGATCATGAAAATACCCAGAGATCTTTCATTGTGCTGATAAATGCAAGAGTTAAAAAAAAAGTACACATTTTTAAAATTCAGGCATATTATACCAAGACATATGTTCTAACCAATAAAGTAGCAGAAGAAATTCTTTTCCTATATAACACCAAAAAGGCAGATGATCTCATTTTTATCTTTGAGATTATAAAGAAGTATAATTGTGCAAACACTTAAGAGTCAACACAAACATTTATATTAAGCATTCAAAAGGTAGATATTTAGCTCATATTTGTTGTTAACTATAATTGTGCATGATAAAAAATAAGTGTATGATTTGATGTGCTTAGGTCTTAACAAAAAAAAAATAACGACTTCACCTCATAGTGCAGAACACTGAGTTCCTTATAAGAATCCCTCAAATGAAGCTGTACGCTTCTTTTTCAATTCTGTGTAACTGTGTTGGTTTGGAGTTGGCAATCTTTTCCTAAGTTCCTCATTTACTTTTGGATTAGCTGAAAATATAGAAGGTTATTAATATCAAGAAATAGGTTTCTGTCAATGAAGCCATTTCCCTAAAAAAAAACACAAAAAGGTTCATAATAATTGCAGTATTTTAATAAGATATTCATATAGCAAGACATGAAGAAAATACGGTATTTAATAACCTCTGGAGTATTTTAAAACATGTCTTAGGGCCTTAATGTGCCTAGTAATATACTATTTAAAACCATAATTTTATCCCTCCACAATATACAGTCATTCTTCCTCGCCATTTACCCAGCTAATGAATGCCAGCAATTAGTAAAATGTAATCCCATTGCACAATCATTTTAATGCTTTTAGCACTCAGAAAAGTAAACACCAAATTAATACTGCTCAAGCCATATCAGATCCTAGTTGGAAGCAAGCAATTATAGTTCAGCTCCTCAGGTGTAATTAAATGATTGGAATGATTTAGTTCCATAAATGCAAGTTAATTCATAAGCAAGCAACAAATATACTGGGAGTAATTACAAGAAACATTGACAGTCTAAGCAGGGCATGTGCCTTCATGTACCTGATGTAGGAAAATGCTGCCCTCTCCTGGAAATAATAGACTATGGCACAGGAATAATTGGAGACAGAACTCAAAGAGGCTCATTTTACAGACTTCGTCTTCATTGCTGAAATATGTTCTGCTACCTAATAGGAATTTTCTGGTTTAAACATACAGAAAATAAAAACATTGTTGATATCAGATTAAGGCAGTCTTTAGGTCAAAGATCTATCTGGGCTTCCTACGGTTTGCAGTATACTTTCCTTATTATTAGAAAGAAAAATGTTAGTAAACAGAACAAAATATTCCC